AAAAAAAAAGAAGGTTACTTAGCTTACGTTTCAGTTCGAATTCTTTTTTGCCATCAATATAGTGCAGCTCTTCTTTCTTGCATTCAAACTGGACGAGTTGGTAAGATTATTTTGATTGTAATCTTCGTATTGTTGCGCAGTGACTGCTCTAGCGTATAGATTGGTGTCTCTTTCTTTTTCCGACGTGTGATTTCGAAGAGAGGCTGCGCTGTGATTGCTGTCGTTTCTAAGTGCATATTTTGGTAAGGAAATACACTTGAGCATCTCTTCTGTCATAGATTTCCGTTAGGTCGCGCCATTTTAGTAGGAAGCTATGAAGTGACAAATTCACTGCTTATCCCTTCCGCATGTCTCCTCGCCACCATTTGTGGCAAGGAGACATGCGGAAGGGATAAGCAGTGAATTTGCTCACATGTACACTTCAATTCTCTCCAGCGATTGGGCTATAAACGAAACGTCTCCCCTATTATGCTTAGACAAAAATCAGCGCTGTAGTTGCGGTGCAGTAATTCCCTACGAACTTCTTCTTGACGCTTTCGCTCCACATCTTTGTCGCGATTTTGTGTTGTTTAGTCACTTTTTTTTTATCTAAATCCAATTATAGTAGGAAGCTATGAAGTGACAAATCCCTTCGGCTTCCCTGTATCTATTGTGTCCAAATAACCGAGTCCAGCTATCATTGCGTCATACTAGCAAAAAACCTAGTTTTACATTAGGTTGATCTTGAGATGACTCATCCAATCTTTTCGCAATTAACGACATTTATTGTGAACACATCTGGGATATTCATTTATAAATGTGCTGTTAATTACGTTTTAAATTTGCATACAATTGCTAACCAGACCTGCTCATCGGTCATAACCTAGCCTCTATATCTTGCAGGAAGTATTGCTTTTAGTCGGTTTAGGAACTTCTTAGTAAATGATTGCACATGATCACATTTGCTCTTTATATTTCTCCTAAAAAATGCATTTACTTTTGTGCCAGGTGCAACGTGTAGCCATCTTTCTAACT